GTTAAAGATCATGGCCACATCTATGCCATTTATATGCAAGTACAGGCGCTTATAGTAATTATGGTATTGGTATCCCATGATTCCATGGTACAATCTCTAGGATTGAAAACTTTCCATTAAAACAATAGTGTATTATTGTAGTTAATTTGTTCAATGTATTTTCACTGATTTCAGAGTGTGGTGAACTCAATTTAGTGATCCAAGATGATGGACCAGTGGATATCTACTCACCCAACTACGATTCTCATTATAATAACAATGATTTATGTAAATGGACTATCAGCACTGAATCTACTATGCCGATACTCATGGTCATTACTGACTTCCAAACAGAGACAAACTATGATTGGTTGGAGATTGGCAGCGGTACTGACCCACTGGACAGTGATTCTCTCCTGTATCGACTAACCGGGCGCAATGTGGCCGGAACATTCTTGACCAATAGTAATGAGGTGTGGGTGGTGTGGACATCGGACAATTCAGTTACTGACACTGGCTTCCATGTCACATTCTTTCAAGGTAATTTAGATTGCATTGTACACTATTTTAGCTTTTATTGCTGACGTGGTAAATCAGCGAATTATAAAATCATGTGAAAATTTCTTTTTAATTTGTATGTGATTTGTGACAAATAAGTGAATGTGATCACAGCAAAAGTTTATTCTAGCTGAAATAGAGAAAATCAACTGCTTCAAAATTAATAATATCAAGGATTTATAAGATGATGGTATGTACTCGTAGGTGTGTGATATAAGATAAAAATCTCACAAGAATTGAAAATAACAAGACAAACCTACATTTCTAAAATTCTTATGCAAATTACTTATTAGTCTGTGCAGAAATTGATTGGTGTTCATCTTACTTCACATTTAATATTTTTCTTGTTCATTTGCTGCGTAATACATGTATTTTGGAATGCTGTGATGTTCTGGCTCAAATCTGTTCACACAATTGGACATTTCCATGCATCCACTACATTTTGCAATGCTACAGTATCAGTTGACATTACATTACAAGGACATTACCTGTTTAATAAAACATACAAGACTCTGAATTAATACATGTACAATGCATTTTCTCTTTAGATGCATTATGTGGAGGAAATGTTTATGGTAACCCTGGCAACCTCTCATCACCGGCTTATCCCAATCATTACCCGCATGGTAGTGACTGTAAATGGAATATTCATGTTCCGGGGGCAAGCAGGATCAGGATAACTTTCCATGTGTTTGAAGTGGAGAGTAACTATGACTACCTATACATAAGAGAAGGGGGCACAGTAGAGACTGGATTACAAGTATTTGTAAGTATTCTGTGATAATAATTTATTTAAACAAAAGAATTTAAAAAATCTACCACAAGGTGGTGCTGTATTGTGGTTATATGTTTATGTTATGTTCACTGTAATTTATCAACTATTTTTTTGTATGCAAACTAAAACATGCATTTTCAGTACAATAATATCTGCATTAAACTACTAAATGTCTGGTAAAAAATGTTTCTGGAGGTACCATCTCATATTAGTATTTGAATGGGACTTTGAGGAAAATTTTTTTGAACTTATTACTGATTTTTTTACAGCAATTAACTGGATCAGAAATTCCTAAAGAGATTATACTGAATGGTGAGGAAGGATGGGCATGGTTTACATCTGACAATACACGCAGCTTCAATGGATTTTTCTTCACATATGAAGCATTCACTGATGGTAAGGCTCTCACAGAGTGGACAGCGGTGGGGTCTCTGAGACTGTCAGACACCTTTGTTACATTTCAATAGTGACTTTCTGTTTGTCATTGTGTTATGTGACTTAACATGTCATGTAATATGGCAGGTCATGTGACTTGGCTTTTCAGTGTGTCATGTCACTTGGCATGTCATGTGACTAGGCTTAGACGTGGATGTGATTATAGCGATATCATTACTGTAAACCTCAATATTATAGGTTTTGAAAAACTGACATTCACTACAAAAGACATTTTGTGAAAATTCAAATAAACAATTAATTTTAGAAAAATTGAATTTTCTGTGAAAAAATCAGTCACAGGTTCTACACATTACATGCAGAGTAGCAATGTAATGAATGTATTGGATACTGTGGCACAATTTCCCCAAATAAGGACTTTTCCCAAATAAGGAAATACTTCACACACTTTTTGATTCCCTCTGGATAATATTTTTTAATAACAATTTTACTAGATACTAAAATTACAAATATTTCTATATTGAAATCATGTTAACCTTTGACCTACATTGACCTTCCATATCTATCGGTACTCCATTCACAGAATATGTTCCTGGCAAGTTTTGTAGTGACGAAGAAATGGTACTCAAACCAGGCTCCACGCTCTACATACAATCACCCAATTACCCAGGTGACTACTACAGCAACTCCGAGTGCCTGTGGAAAGTCAGAACAGAATCTGGTTTATCCATAACGATCAACTTCCGAGATTTCCAGACTGAGAAAGGATTTGATTGGTTGGACATCGGTGATGGTGATGATGCGACTGATTTGACGAGTCGTATAAGACACGAGTCTGGGCATGAAGTCCCGATACCTGTCTATGTTGAAGACGATAAGGTGTGGATTAAATTCACTAGCGACGATACAATCAACTATCGAGGATTTCTGCTGATGTTAGTGGAGAGAAATGACAGTGAGTAGTGTATACCCTTCAGATTAGTGGCGCCCTCTAGTGACAACACTTTTGTATGATGTAGAAACAACATTTGTTTCGTGAAAAGTAAAGCATTAGAATTTAGCTAATTTGTTGAAAAAAAAAGCATTTTTAGTGACTATAGATCAAAAAAATAATATATGAACTGCTTTTTATAGATATACACATCTACATCATTAAAGCACTTCACCTATAGAGGGCGCTATATAACTTTTTGGTAAGGTGTGCAAGGAATACAACACTTCTTGGGAGTGTAGAATTGTTTTGAATCAGTTGAAGAATACTTATCTATGGACGTATTAACAAATATATTATTGAACAAAAACATTTAATCAGCATTTGGCTTTTATGTTTCCTTAACAAATTGTTTGGATGTAAGTTTAAAAGTTTAAACCCATTTCTCAATTTTATATATAAGCCATATTCTTGATGGCTACTCCCATTTTGGTAAATATCGGTAAAATAATCACATTTATTTTCTTATCACGTGTACGCCAGCTGACTGTGTCTCATACTTGTTTCATTATTCTCAGCTGACACATCAGAACCCAAACCTGACCCTGGAGTGACCCCTTCACCTCCCCCACCATGTGGAGATGACATAATAGTTCCAGAAGATGGCATTGTGAACATTACATCACCGAACTACCCTGAAGACTATGATAACAATCTGAACTGTGAATGGACTATCCGATCTACGACTGGAAGGCGAATCAGAGTTACGTTCCAGGATTTTGAATCAGAGAAAAGGTAAACTGATCTCAGTGACACAAATGACATTCTGAGGACTGTCTATGTACAGTCCGAGCATAACTACACTTTCAATTAGTATATCCCTGTATAAGTACAGCACCTGATTTGCATAATATTACTATATACACTGTAATACTATCTACATGTAATTTATTACCAAACGCTTCAGCGTGGTATTAAGAG